AGCTCAGGAATAAAATTAACAAAATATAAAATGAATCTATCAAATAAGCTATTATTTATTTTATCACAAAATACCTAAGTCAAAAATTCGACACAAGTTTCATCAATTTACAAACAAATATAATTTTATAAAATCTAAAACAAACCCTAACATGTACAAATCATAAATCCATACAACAAATTTATATGAGAAAAAAACTATAAAACTAGTAAACACTTAAACAAAATACTATACTAAAAAAATATGCAAAAAATTAACATTTTAAAATTGAGTTAAAAAAAGAGAGAGAGAGGGAGATTTGCTTAGTTAAAGTGAAAACTCCTTAATAAAATTTGAATCAAAATACAAATGCTAACAAATTGAGTATTGTGATGGTTGAATTTATTATGGAAGGTTGAATCGTGTTGAGATTTGGGGGATGGGGTGATTGTTTATTACAAAAAAAAAAATGAACAAGGAAGAAGGAGAAATGAGGGAGGTGGAGAAAAGGATCGATTGCCAAGTTATAAATTAAATATCACTGATTACATTATCGATGATATTATTCCATCAGTAACTCCGTTAGTGAAAACATCATGCACCGTATGATTTACTTTTTTTTAATTCCATTGTAATCCTTAATAATTCTGTTGGTATATACCATAGGAATATTTTTGTCGGTATATTTATGGATGTAATTATTGTCAGTATAATTTCATCAGTAATGTTATTTGTAAGAATTACATGTCATTATATTGTTTGGTTTTTTTCCATTTCGTATTTTCTCATCACAATTCCTTTAATGTATACTGAGGGAATTTTTTTTGTTAGTATTTATTAATTGATGCAGAGATGGAAAATTCTGTTAGTAAAGGTCATCACAATATAATGAAGAAAAAAAATTTATTAGTTTTTTTGTTTGTATTTGCTAATTTCCTAGTAGTTTTATTTGAGGAAACATGTTCCACAAGTTTCATCAATTGACATTTTATGTCTTGTACATGTAACTAGGAATAAAAAATTCTTTTAGCTCATCAAAATTATATGTGTCTCGGCTCAGCATGTAATTGAACTCAAAAATATTGGGTTTGACAACTCGTATGCTAGGTCTAGCAGCTCATCAAACTTACATGCACTTCGGCTCAACGCTCAACTAAACCCAAAGAGATTAGGTTTATCAACTCCCTAGACTTAACATTGGGTCTGACAACTCGTATGTTAGGTCTAGCAGTTCATCAAACTTACATGCACTTTGGCTCAACACTCAACTAAACCCAAAAAGATTAGGTTTATCAACTCCCTAGACTTACATGTATTTAGACTTAACATATAGTTGAACTCAAGAATATTGAGTGTGGCAACTCACTAGATCCATTTGTACTTTAACTCAACTCATAATTGGCCCTCAAATATTAAGTCTAGCAATTTATCAGACTCATATGTACTTGAACTCAGTGTGTAATTGAGTTCAAAATTGTTGAGTTTGGAAGCAAGCCCTACCTATGTCATTTGAGTTTGGCATTTTGTTAGGCCCATGTATGTTGTGTTATTACCCCGCATTTGGCTTTTTTAAATATGGACTTAGAAAAAAAAATTAAAATACGTTGATACATTAATCACATTTATTAAACCTTATATGAAATCGACTTGATATAAGACCTAAACTATGAGTCAAAAAGATTAATGGAGGTTCATATAAGTTAATAATTTATTTTAAATAAGGTTAGGACAATGTTATTTTAAATTTTTTAGAAAATATTAATTCGATACTAAGGTGATCAAGTCACGAATTCATAAATGAAGTTAACCAAGTCAACTTCATGTTAACTTTTTCACACTCTATCTAAAATAAAAAACGAGTTAACCAAGTTTTAAATAAACTTGTTAGAAAAACCAGATTTAATAACAATGGTTTTACTTCGTTTCCTATCGGCAATTAATATAGACCATGGTAAAATAAAAACTAATATCTTAAATTTTTTTTGTGAATTATGAGTTTTGAATAACAAAACTTAATTTTATTTAAACAAAAAAACATTATTAATTAACTTTATAAAAAATAAAAATATGACTGAAGTTCTTAAAAATTAAGATTTAACTTGAAAAGTTTAGGCTTGACAACATTCATACTTAAAAATAAAACTGATGACTATAAAAATTACTTTTTTTTTTAACAAGGAATATATAATAAATTACAGGATAACATGGATGAGATATAACCCAAATAAAAAAAATATATCTTTAACAAGTGATAGCACTTGGTAGACATTAATTAGTCCACAAACAACAGCACATCGATACAAGCAAGAAACACACAAAATAAAAAATAGACAGTTGCATTAATAATAGCTTGGTGTAATTTGGTACCTAATTTGTTTTTGTATTTTTTTGGTTTCTATCTAACCTATCTCGTTAAAAAAGATGAGGATGCTATATAAATAATTCTTGAAATATAATTATAAGAGAATAATCATTTTCATGTACAGAAATCACAATTTTAAAATGTTGGAAGTCTTAAAAAAATTAAAAATAAATTGAACAAGTACTTAATTAACATAGACGAAATAGTGCTAAAAGAGAGTTTCATGAAAAAAATATGAATTTTTTTTAAAAAAATACTATTATTATTATTATAAAAATTTTAAAAAAATACTATTATTATTATTATTATTATTATTTACCAAAAATATATAGAGTGTGAGAAATTCACTTTAGTACTAAAAAGAATTTACTATGAATTATAATAATAAAATGATATTTTTATCCTTCATCAAATTAGATAAAAAGAATAAACTCAAGATTAAAATAGTTATTTTCAAGAAATCCATTTATCATTCCTGCTTTTAGTGGAGATACAGATGTATTTTCATCTTTTTTGGATAGTGAAATACCTTCACTACCCTTAAAAGAAAACATTCAAATACTTTATTGTTGGGGCTTTTTTTGAGATTTCATATTTTTTTTGCATAATTTAATTACTAGCTTATCCTCTGTGTATAAATTACTTAAGGCTTGCTGTAAGAACATTTTTATATTCTCAGTATTCTTATCACAATAAAATCAAGAAATTAACATTCATCTCAAGATTGATTTACGCTTGCTTTATGAGAAAATATTTTATTTTTATATATTTTTTTAATTATAAGCAGATTAATATAGGTGTGAATTTATCTTTTAAAATGATTAAAAAAATATATAAAAAGAAAATTGCCAAGCACGTGGAAAAGACCGTTGCGCTTCGACAACATGTTCACCTTTATACTATTGCTAAAAAATTGCTTCCATTATATCATTTGATTCCTCAGAGCATCTTTTTCCACCCTAAACACTGCATGCTAAGTTTTGATGGATAAATTATCATCAGAGTTGTCTTTTTCTCTCTCCCTTTAAATTCATGCCTGACATTTAAAATCTTAGGGTTGTTCTCTTGGTTGGGTATATTTGGTTATTAATCATTATTTTTTTGATTTGTTAATTTTTATTTTTGATCTTTTTGTAAGTTTTTATTTTTTTTATATTTTTAATTGCATCCTTCAATTTAAATTTTTTATTTTTCAAATTTGATACCCATTCTTTTTTTTTCTTGCCTCTTTTATAAACTTTTAATTGTTTTTTTTTTCCTTTTATTTTTATCTTGCCTCTTTTATAAACTTTTAATTGTTTTCAATTTTATACTTTAATCAAAATTTTTAATTTGTTGATTTTTTTATAGATTTGGTCCTTATTTTTTTGGTGGTTTTCTATTTTAATTATTTAGTGAATTTAGTTTTTCTTTTCAATTTAGCCTTTTAATCCAAAATTATTTACTATATGATATGGGTTCTTATTTTTTATTCTGGACTTGTTTACATTTTAGATTTCATTACTTGATGTTGATTTTTTTTAAAAAAATTAGGCTTTATTGTTTTTTTTATTTTTTTTAAAAGGTTATACTGATCTCATAATCTAATCTATGAATTTGGTGGGTTAACTTGGATAGTTTGCGCCTTTTTTTTCTTTCCTTTTAATAACTGTTTTTTTTAGATCATTTTATGGTATTAATTTTTTTAAAATTTATTTTTTAATATTTAATTTATTGAGAATTGATCTTTGTGATTTTTCCATATTTGGTGTTTTCGATCAAATGGTCTGGGGCACAGGTTTTATAAACTAGCAATAGATTTTTATTTTTATTTTTATCCTATCTTATAATTTGACATTGGGTTTTTTAAAAAATAGATTTCGTGATTTTTTTTTTCACTGTAGGATTATAGCAATCTCATGACCTGATCCATGAGTTTGGTAAGTTAATTCTAGTAGGCTCAAGATTTTTTTTTTGTTTATAATTGTTATTTTCTAATCCTTTTCATCTTATGATTCAAAAATCAACATTGGTTTTTTTTTTTTAAAAAAAATAGGTTTCATATTTTTTTTTATTTTTTATTTTAGATTATCCTGATCTCATAGCTTAACTTGTTGGTTTGATGGATTGACTTGATTGGGCTTAAGTATTTTTTAACTTGTAATTTCTTTTTCCTTTTATATGTTTTTTTTTTCAATTTAATTCTTTAACATTTTATTAGTTAAAAATTAAGCTTTAAGGTTTTTCTAGATTTATTATTTTTAGTCAAATAACTTGAGTTATGGGTTTAATGAGTTAATATTATTTTTTTTACTTATTTTTTTATTTTCATATTTTTTTACATTTACTTCTTTTTTTCATTAAAATCCAGGGTACGAGTTACATAACTATTTATTAATGCGAGCTAGATGTTAGAACTTGGAACCCATCCTGACTTCCGAAAGCCTAGCCCATGAAAGAATCCACAAACTCTCAGTTACTCACCACTGCCTCACCCCCACTGGATTTTGTATGCATAACGCACCATTGTTATTAACTATCCACCTTGCCCGCTCCATGTCGTAGGTTGTCTCCATAATCATATATCACAGATCGAGTTGAAAGACTACTGGAGAAGATGAAAAGGCGAATTGAAAGAACAAAGTCAGAAAGGGAGGAAGACGTTTTAGAAGACCCGTGCAAAACATGAATTTTAAGGTCAACAAAGCTGAATCCAAAATGTTTAACAATACAGCAAAAGTGACAGGAAAAAAACCCATTAGCGAGTCAAAAAGTATAGTAAAAAACAGAGACTGCAGCAAAAAATCTGCATGTCAGGAGGGCTCGGTGAACACATGTTGTTGGAGCTAGTGCAGCTGAGGACATCCATGATCGGTGAGAGACGCAAAAGCCAGCTGCATGCCAAGCAAAAACACGGGCCATAGAGCTGAAAGCTAGCTGGCCTACACAAAACAAAGCAAAAAAAGAGTAAAAAACAAGAACAATCAAAGGACAACACAGAAAAGAAGCAGTGAAAGTAAATGCAAAATGAACGTTACAGTAGATTTCTCGAAGATGCAATGAACAAGATAAGAGGGTAAAAAGGAGGAGGTTTTTCTCTTCCTCATTAAAGAAAGCTGAGACGGAAGCAATGGTTGGAGCTTGAACTAGCTGACATGTCGAGAAAAATTTAATACAATGGTAGTAAGTGGAAGACTTTAAAGCAGAAGGTACTCCGAATAAAGTGGTTATGTAGAAAGGGCAGAGACGGAAGTCGAGAACTCTATCCATAATAATATTTATAGCTAATATTATATTTTTTTCTCAAAAGACAGACCGAACGTGTTCGAGTTATTGGCTCGTCCACCCTTATAGCATTCATAAGTTGCTCGTTCAATTGTCTCTCAAAGTTGATCAAGAAGCTGCATGAATATTCTCGAACTAAAAATTTAAGTTATAATTTATTTAATTTTTTAACATGTTTTATTCAGTAAAAATATTTTAAATTTTAAATTTTTATTATTTTATATTTAATTTTTCATCAAATGGGTTGATGAGAGTTAAATTCATGATCATTTAGTTAATAAGACTTTGATACTATATTAAAAAATTATTTTAAACCTTATTTGTTTGCTGAAAAGTAGTTTTTTTTTAAAGTGAATTTTAGAAAAGTAAATTCTGAAAAAATCAATTATTTTTTGATATTTAATAATGTAATGAAAAATAAGTTGGAAAACACTTTCTAGTGTTTAGTTATATCATGGAAAAGGAGTTGGAAAACAAATTATTAATGTTTTATTTTTTTCAAATTTATTAAAATAATAAGGAACACATCTTACAAATTAAAAAGTTGAATGAGAATAAAATTGAAAAAAATATAATTTTATAAATTATCTCAAATAAAATAAATAATAATCAAAATAATAGAGATCAAATCTAACAAAAAAATTAAAAGATGAGAAAATTAAAATAATAATAATTATCATTCCATAAATTATTTCAAATAAAATAAGTAATAATAAAAAAATGATGACCAAATTTGATAAATAAAAAATTTTAATTAAAAAATAATAAGGAAAAAACAAATAACAATTATAAAAATAAGGACCAAAGTTAATATAAAAATTAAATTCTAAAAGATGAAATTGAAAAAAAATATTCAAAACAAAATATATATAGCAATCAAAAGTTTGAGGACTAAATTTGATATAATCAACAAATAATATGATATTTTTAAATTTTTTACAACTTTCAAAAAATGTTTTACGTCCAAAATAAAAGAAAAACATTTTTTTAAAAACAAAATCAATTTTTTTTTAACTAGAAAGTGTTTTCTGTTGACCAAATTTTTTAATAACAAACAAACATAAGAAAGTTTTGGAAATATTCTCTTAATTTAAAAGCTTAAACTATCAGGTGAGTTTTTTGTATATGATTAATATAATTCTTTAAATGTTATATAAATTTTTTTTCCTCTTCAACTTTATGTTTCTAAGATATTTATGGGTAAAATTAAACTATAATTTTTTTTTTTAACAAAAACGAAAGGTTGGATCAATTATATGATAGAAATACAAGATTTAGTGAGAATACCCTATCATCTTCAACTAAAATGACCTAAAATTAAACTTGGGTAGGAAATATTTTTATTTTTTATTAAAAAATAATATAAATTATATCTTAAAATCCCATTTAAAAATTTAAGTTACTAGGTTAAAATTATTTTTTAATATAATATTAGAGCATGATTGATGAAGTAGTTTAAAGTTTAAATTTTTTTATTTATTTAATAAAAATTAAATATAAAATAATATAAATCTATATAAATTTTAAATTCCAAAAACTCACTTAAAAAATATATTAAAAAATAATATAAATTATATTTTATAATCTTATATAAAAATTTAAATTATTAAATTAAAATAAATTTCAGACAACTAAAAGTTTTTTCAAGATTAAGTTTCGCTTGCGAAGAGATAGAGAGACCAGTCTCACCTTTGGCGGTGCATCCTTAATAAAAGTTTGGCTGGCAAGAGCAAGATAGACCACCTAGCCATGACTGGGTAGTTTCTTCCTTCCCAAATCGGAAAAGCCCATTTGTCGGCACTTACAGCAGTGGAAGCCACCGTCTCTTACTGTGCTTCGCGCTCTTGTCTCTTCCTTCTGCCCAGCTGCCTATTTTTCAGTGCCAACACTCAGATTCACCATTGAACATAAGATTTCCTCTTAGAATTTGAAAATTCAATGTACTTGGCATCCACGATCTCACTGCTCGATGGTGAACAATACTGTGAAAAAATAAGAAAAGGCCTTTGTCCCATGAATTTTATACAGGAACGTAAGAACTCGCTGCCCAATGGCATATTTGTAGTAATATAGTAAAAGATGGGCATTAAACAAACCCAGAATGCAAAACGCAGTCATCGATAAATATATATATAAAAAAAAAACAATAAGAGTGATTTTTGTATACCGTCGATTTTCCCCGACGCGATCAAGAGATTGACATTTTCAAATGGGACCCGCAACTTTTCTTAACTTAACCACTGCTTTTCTTAATTTATCTTACTTTTTAATATCATTTATTTATTTATTTATTTATAACAGAGGAGGAGTTTGGTTGTAGTTATTATTTAAAATATTTTTTTTAAATATATTGAATATAATATTTTTTAATATAAAAAAATTAATTTTAACATTAATAAATTAAAATAATTTTAAAATACTAAAATAATAATAATTTAAAATAAAAAAATTAAATAAAAAAATACTTTTAAAATATAAAAACAAATAGGTCTAATCTTATTGAAATTCACTCTAGCTAAATTAATAAATTATTTTAAATAAAATTAAAATATTTTTTTAATACTAACATGAACTTGACTGGGATGATTAGTCTACAAATTTATATATAAAATTAATTAGGTCAACTTTATATTAATTTTTTTTTTACACTCCATTAAGGATAAGAGATATATCAGCTAAGCTGTAAATAAACTTGTTGGAATAATCAGATAGTTTATTATCTGTAACCATGGTCAAATAAAAACTAATATCTTGAGTTTTTAGTGAATCATGAGTTTATTATCTGCAACCATGGCCTACCTCGTTGAAAGAGATGATGATGCTGTATAAATAAATTTTTAATATAATTAATTGTAAGAGAATAATCATGTTGAAAAATTTAAAATAAATTAAATAAATAGTGATTGAACATAAACGAAGGAGGGCTAAGAGAGGGTTCCACAAAAAAAAAAAATTATGAAAAATTGAAAATAAATAATTTTTATTTTTATTTTTATTATTGTTATTATTCGTATTGTTATTGAAAGCTTAATGTTTAAACCCAAATCTGACTTTCAAAAAGCCTAGCCCGCACGAGAATTCACAAATTTTTAGTTTTTCCCCTCTTCCTTGCCCATTGAATTTTGCATGGATCAACGTATCTTTAATTATTAAGGCAGGGTTCGCGAATGCTACTTGAAATTGTTTTTTAAAAAATTTAAAATTTAAAATTATTTTTTTTTAAATTTATATATTTTTTATTTTTATATTATTTTAATATGTTGATATTAAAAATAATTTTTTTAAATAAAAAATATTATTTTAATATGTTTTATAATAAAAAACATTTAAAAAAGTAATCACTACCACACTCTTAAATACTCTCTTAATATAGAGATAAATCATGGAGGTTTTTATTGTGCACTTGGATTGGAATAGTTGATTTTTATAAAATAATTAATTTGATTTTTAATTTATTTTTATATAATTAAGCTATTTTAAGTTTAAATTTGCACTCAATTACATATTTTTTGGGTAAGAGTTGAATTTAAAGTTAGGGACCGAAATAAAAATGGCAGGTAACATAGTTTACTTTAATTCTCTATATTTTTAAGTTTATAGGTGATCAGTCTCTTTAGTTTTCAAAAATTCAATTTAAATATCAATATTCATTCTTTTTATTTTTCAATTCTTTTCTGTTAAATAAGTAAGAAAAGCTTGCTGGATTCTAGCTTAGAAAGAAAAAGTTGTTGTTTAAAACTTTTCTAGCCACCAAAATAATTAAAATTGATGTTAATGAGTTATATTTGATGAAGAGATTCTTATAGTGGCTGTTTTAATCCTTAATTTTGCCTAAAAACATAGATCTAAGTCGAGGAAGAGAAAATTCATTTGGTTTGATTTTATGATTTGAATGTTTTTTAGGTTTAATGAGTTGAAAAATAGGTTTGGTGGGTTTAAAATGTATAGCCCTGATTTTTCAGTCACCATAATAATATTTGAAATTTGGGTTAGGAGACTACATGTTGTTTGCCTTAGCGGGTGATATGTCATCTTTATATTTGAAAAGAAAGAAATAAAAAGTCATTCGCTCCTTTAAATGAGAAAAAATAGTTGCCTCGACCATATAAGTTTGGTCTTAAAGGTCCATGCACCTAGGTTGTTCCTTCTAGAGGCCTAGTGTATTGGGCCATAGGCCTGTGACACGATCAAAGAGTTGATGTCTTATCCCAAGTGCAGGAGTGTCAAAGTAAAATAATCCGGCAAGACCGGGGTCGAACCACAGGGAGGTGAATTATATAAATTACAAATAAAGAAAAAGATTTAAAGAGAATAATAACAGAAAAGGAGTTGAAGAAAGTTTTGGGATGTGATATTGATGTAAGGATTAAACAATAACAAAACATATGTCAAGGTTATAGGATTCACTAATGGTATTTCAAATAAATATAATATAAACTCTTTTTATTACTCAACTAGAAACCACACACAAATGAGGTTCTAATCGGATGATTTCTTGTTATTAGCTCATTATAAATTACTAACATGATCATATTAATTATCTTATCTAAGTAATACCATACTTATAAATATCATCAAGTATTCATGTTGCTAGTTTATGTTAACAACAAATCAAGTTTCTATCATAATAACGATTTCGGCCGAAAACTATGAAAGATCAAGCATTTGATGTACCAAATATTATACAACACAAATCTAAATTAAACATTTAATAAGCAAGGTATTAAGAATTAGTAAGATAAAAAGATAAAACATGTTAATAACAATCTTTCTTGGATATAAACATTTAAAGCTCATGTTGAGTTTATATTATACCTATTCTAACACCATTAGAGAAACCTTTTCACCTTGACATAATTAACTTAGCTAAACATTAAGAAGGAGAAAAACATAAATAAGCAATATAAGAACATAAACATAATATAAGCTAACTAAGTATAGGAAAGGAAATGAAAGAGCATAAACAAGAGATTACTATAGCATAAAAGAAAACTTGAACATTACAAAGATGTAGAGAGAAAGCAAGAAGATAACTTTGATCTGAAAATTAATATGACTAAATACATGGACAATGCCTCCTTTTATAGGCTAAGTTTCAGAACTATTGATTGATTGAAGAATTGGTGGGCATCCATTGATTTGGTGGCTGGTTTTTGACATTAATGGCTGGTGGTTTTTTTGTATTTTGTGCTGTTTTTTGATATTGTTGGCTGGCCAAAACGTCATTGCTCACATCAGAATTATAGCCAACTGAATTGTGGAATCTGTGGGCAATTGTCTCAGCTTTCCATCAAAAAAAACCAGAGCTCATTTGGACTTCTAGAACTCAAGATATGAGCCAAAAACCGAATAGTGCTTGAGTTGCAGGACAGCTTTCGACGTCTTCGTTGTTGCTAAGATTTGGGCTTGAAAACGGCAGAACTGAGTCTTTGACTTCATATGAAAGTTGTAGGTCTATGTCTTACCTTTCCATCTATATAAAATGGACCTAAATCTGATATCTACAGCTCCAGATATGATCAAATTACTGAACGGTGTTCGAGTTTGGAATGCACCAGCAACACTTTGCTAAGTTTGGCCTTCTTTTTATCCTTTCAATTTCAATTCTTAAACTCATCAATCAATCCTTTTTTTTATGTGATAGACCTGCATTTAGGATGAATATTTATCATGAATTAAAGGTATATTATATTTTTAGACTTGCTAATATAAAACATGCTTTTGTTAGGGAATTTAATGATACTTTAGGTGCAATATGATGACATAAATCCTTAATGAGAATGCACTTTTAAGTACTAATCAGCCTGCATTACCAGGCTTTGTTAGATCTTTTTTTTAGATATAAAAAAAAAATTAATTCAGTTAGTTCCATAACCCAGATTCCAAGTTTGACAAGTTAAGCCACAACATTCAGTCAATTGTTTTTTTATTTTTGGTTTCATGCACTTCTAGTACCTCAATTTTTTTATTAAAAAAAAGTGATTTCACCCTTTATTATTGATGATCTATTTTTTTAATCAACTTAAAATTAAAAAAAATATTGTTTCTCCTTTTGTTATCAACTTTTTGCTTATGCTATCTTGGCGGGTTCCATTTCATAAGAATAGTTTGATTTAGGTGTGTTTTTTTTCCTTTCTCTTTCCTAAGAAAGTACATTTAACGGCATAAATTGTTTTGGCTTCGAAATGATTTTGGTTTTTTGAGATTTTTTTGGGTTTTTGGTGGCTATAGATAGATTTATCAAGGTATTTATGGTTCTAGATGTTTCGAGCCAAGAATAAGTTTTAACACCTAATACCCTAAAGTCAACTTACTTAGGAGTTATTGGCCCAGTGCTTGTTACATGGATTAAGAAGAAAAGCTTAAGAGAATCAAACATTGCACTATCTATGTATCGGTACCTGCAACCCTAGTTACTAAGCTTGCAGGGGTGTCTCAACACCTAATGCCCTAAGACTAATTGGTCTAGGAGTCATTAGTCGAAAGCTCATTACAAAGGTTAAAGATGCATTGTGTTTTAAGTTATATGTATATATATTAAAAAAGAAAAAAAAGAAAAAGAAGAAGAAGATAATAATCTCAACCTTAGAAAGTTAACTTTAGAAAAACACTAGAACAAAATGTTGTTTTCTTCCTATTGCGATGTCGTGGTCGCACAAATTAATTACCCTAGCTTAAAACACAACACACAAGATAGTATAGAGCAAGCAAGGGGTCGATCCCATAAGGAAGATTTAGTTCAGATTTTTATGCTATACGTTATGCAATTGGGGGGTTTTGATTTGTAATGATCTAAACTATGAAAAAAATTAAACTAGCAAAAAAAATCAATTGAAATCAAAATTTATCAAGAAAACAAACCTTAGTTGCAAGCACACATCCACCAACAGAAATTAGAATCGATCCTTGAAACAAAATTACAATTTATATTCTGAATTTTTATCTTTTCTTAATGTTGGTTAATTAACGGATCTGTCGTATA